TCCTCTCTCTGGATTCCTAGCATGCATATTTCTAGAATTTCTTGAATCTGGACCTTTTAAAGATGTCATTCCACCTGATACACATTACTTTCGATACATCGATGACATTTTATTTATCTACCCACATAAGCATGATTTAAACGAGATTACTGATAGATTAAATAGAATAGAACCTACTATTGAATTTACCTATGAACTTGAATCTAATAATTCCTTACCTTTTTTAGACATATTACTCATTAAAAATAAAAATAAATTAGAATTCAAAGTATATCGTAAACCTACATGTAAAAAAAAATGACTATTTACATTTTTACTCTCACCATGATACTAACACTAAGAGGGTATTGTTATTGGATTCTATTTGAGGGCTCTTCGCATCTGTTCATCAAAATATTTAAATGATGAATTTACATATATTGAGGATACCTTTTCAAATCTTTCGTATCCGAGACAATTATTACAGAGAGCTAAAAATAAAGCGTTGAAAATTCACTCATCAGCGCAAAATGACACCTCAAAGGCCACTACAATTAGATCAATGAAAGATACAATTTCAGCTACCGCTGATAATATTTCGTTTGGTCGCATCTTTTTACCAAATAACCATTTGACCGAACGTATCTCTCATAATCTAAATGCATTAAAAATTAGAACTACTATATTACCTACTAGGACTATCCGTAGTTTATTAAATAGCACCAGCAGACAACATATTACATCCGATGCTTGCATCTATCAAATATCATGCAAAAATTGTGACTTAAAATATGTGGGTGAAACAGGTAGGTCCTTAAAATCTCAGGAGGATTTATGAAGCAGGTATAATATCCATCTCACGCACGGTGAATACTAGACCTGGTTTCTTTAATATTTCCCCTTTTTTAGCGAGATTGATGCTCGACAAGCATACACATAAGAATTTTGGAACCTAATAGAATTCTTTTCATTTTCTTTTTCTTTTTCATTTCAAAATAATCACAAACTTTTAGGAATACGTTATGAAAGCGTCGCCCATGTGACGACAGCGTGACCATGTTAGACGGAAGGCTGATCATTTTAAAATTTTCAGTTATCTGTTCTGAATAAGACTTGTGTTTTTATGTCCATCGTATTTGTCATATTGAACTGAATTGTATTTTGATGAATATTGTCTTGAAAAAAGGTTTAATAAACCGAAACGTCAGACGTCGACATTTCTTTCATTTAACTACATTTAAGGATTTTGTTTGTTTTTTCAAAATTTCTTCATATATATATATATATATATATGTGTGTGTGTGTGTGTGTGTATGTATATATATTCAAGTATATATATATATATATTCAAAATATATTCAAATATATATATTCAAAGACCTCATAATTTTGTCTAATCATATATATATATATATATATATATGATTAAACGTAATTGAGATCTTTGAATATATATATATATATATATATATATATATATATATATATATATATATATATATATATATAGATAGATAGATAGATAGATAGATAGATAGATATATATGTGTGTGTGTGTGACCATATATGATAGCAATATTCAATGCATGGGGGAATGATAGACTTATAAAAGCACCAGATTGATTGTGGCAAAACTGTTTGGCACGTCACAGTGAATCAACTTTCCCAGTAATTGAGTCAATATTTTCGCTCCAATTTAGTTGTGTTATTTGCCTTTTGTTCAGCTGTTTCCCTTTTATCGTTATATTTTCTTGATGAAATTTGATCATTGAAAGGCGTGGTGCCCAATGAGTAAGGATGCCTTGAAATGATCAAATTTTAAGATTTAAACACTTTTATTAGTATTATTCATGATAACGGTAGTATTGATAATTATCTGTTGGATTATTGTTTCATTCCTTCCATACTTGATATTAATATTTGCACGATTTTCGCCTTAATCTACGCGAATGTTTTTAAAAGCCTAAACGTGTCAATTTCATCGAAATTTGACCAATTAAAAAAAACGACTTTTTCCATTCCATACTTTTACATCTACTCAATAAAACATATTTTATGTTATTGAAATTAATGATTTTTAGAATGTGTGTTTCATACCTGATAAAATAATATCAAGATTTTAATAAAATCATCTATGTTCTAAAGTTTATTTTAATCAAATAAGTATTATTTGCAAGACTGGACATTATAACCTATACATATATAAGACGGCGATATGTATTTTTATATATTAGAACAATATTGGGGAAAATGTATAACAAAGGGGAAAATCTATTCTTTTGACGCGTTTCGTCCGTTAGGACTTTATCGGTGTAATTTTTTTTTTATGCTGGTGCGAATACACATGCACAACAAGGAGAGATGGTGGGAAATTTAAATTTATTTATTTCTTTTAATCTAGCCGATTTCAATTCGAGATTTTTGTCTTCTTCTTTCCGTCACTTGAGTTAGGAGATATCCCATACTGTAGATGTTTTGCCAAGCAGTGCAAGACAGGTAAAACGGTAAACAAATTACTACG